CCACCCCCAAAAAAATTTAAGTTTGTTTTTAAAAAATATTTTCAACTTCAAAATTTCAATTTTTCACCCCTACCCTCGATCCCCCCTCACCCCCAAAAAAAATTTAAGTTTGTTTTTAAAAAATATTTTCAATTTCAAAAATTATTTTCTACTCTAGGAAAAATAAAATATATTTTTCAAAAATATTTTTCATTCATAAATTAAACACTAAAAATCTTTTCCGAAAATATTTTCTACTCACCAACCAAACATGAGAAAATAAGTCAAAAATCAACTTTTTTTCCAGGAAAACATTTTCCTTCATACCAAACACACCCTTAATCTTCTCTATTTGTTGAGTCTTGTATCTTTCTCTCTTGAACATATATTGTCCATGGTAAGCAAATCTTTTTTCCAGCAAAAGATAATTGCCTCAACAAATTTTTCAGATTTAGGAATTAGCAAAATAAAATTCAGCGACCCTCTCGGATTTCTTTTCTATCTTGAGAATTCAGTGGTAAGCCAAAAAATATATAGCTTAACCATGGTTTAAGAGGTTGTTTTGGTTAAATAATTATTGACCCTTAGATTATTATGTGACAAATGATAGCATATTAAAGGGGGACTGGACCAACTGGATGGTAAAGGCACTGGACAGGAGCCGCATCCTATACACACGGCCTTCATCTACTATACTATAAGTAATGGACAAAATAGTAATGATGGGTATCTTTCCTGAATTACCTTATTAATTGTGTCATTAATATACTCTCTTCATTTCATATTAATTGAATTGTTGAGATATTTTAAATTTTTTAAATTAACTTAATTGTTCAATTTTTAAGATTGCTTTTAGAATGTTTTTCCAATTTTACCATTCATTAGTTATTATTAGAATTAGTTATTAATTAATGTTTAGTTATTTTAATGATAATTTTGATAGAGTAAAAATGGAAAGTTAAGCCTAATTTATATTTTAATCTTCTTTTCTTAAAGGATGTGAAACACCTCAACAATTCAATTAATATGAAATGGAGGGAGCATAGTGCTAGTGAATTTATTAGTTCGACTCCCAATTGTTGTGCACAAAATCACCGTTGGAACACAGTTGCGATGATTTGGGTTCAGTAAACCGTAGCGTGCATAATTAAGCTGTGAAATTAATCTTATTATTCTCTACTGAAGTTCAAATGCTCCTATTGTAATTTTGTTCATATTTTACTAATTTGTTTGTCGACCTATATTTTATTTGAATTATCAGGAATAATTAACATGCTCCCGCCCTTTCAACTACAATCACCAAACAGGTTTCTAACGTTTGGATCTAAGGGTTGATAAAACCAAATCATATCAAGCAACTTTTTTATAATTTACTTTACTTTTTGTATACACTAAAATTTTGCTTGATCTTGTTGGTTTTCTCAAGTTAATTAATTTACTTAATCAATTTCTCCTTTCGTTTACAAGCTCAATTTGATCAATAAGCCAAGTATTGTGATAGACGGATAAATATTACTCCTTCCATTTCATAAAGAATGACCTCCTTTCCTTTTTAGTCAGTTTAAAAAAGAATGACCTCTTTCCTTTTTTGGTAATATTTTACTTTTTGCTTTCCACGTGGCATTGTTTAAGACCACAAGATTAAGGACAATTTTGTACATTTGACATAACTTTAATTTAGGGCCACAAGATTCAAAAGTCTTATTTATTTACTTAAACTCCGTGCCAAGTCAAACTAGGTCATTCTTTGTGAAACGGAGGGAGTATTTGTTATGAAAGAGAAATAACATGATAACAACAATAAAGCATTTATTTTGCACTAAAAACAGAAGAAGGCCAAAGCGGAAGCATTAGATATATGTAATTGTATGCCTAGATTAAGTCCAGCATAGCACGTCTTGATCGTGCGTCGATCTGAGCAGTGCCTCTATCTGAGCGCGAATTTGAGCTGCTATAAGCCGGTCATGATCATCATTCACTGAATTTATCATTTCCACCGCCGCATTCGCATGGGAATTCCGACTTGGATTTAAATTTGGATTTGGACGCTGCAGCTGTTTGGGGAATACACCGACTTCAGGACTAATTATCGCACAGTTCAAGTGTGAAGCGAAATCACACCCACCGCAATAGTAGAACCAGTTGTCATTGTTCATCATTACAGAGCAGATATCGCAAACATATTCGCTATCCTCAGGATAACCGTATTGGATCTCCAATTGATGCGTGTGTTTATCAACAAGTATGGAGCTAGGACAGGATGCACATTGCAAGTGTATATCAAAATCACAATCAGCACAGTTATAGCAAAATCCATTTCCAACAGAGCCACAAGCATTGCAAAAATAGGAACCACTCGTGTAAGACGGAATTTGGTGAAGGGTCAATGGGTGCGAAGGATGAGACGAGTGATTGAGAATACGCGGAGCATTAAAGCAGTTTTCATGGAGGAAATATTGGCAGGTGTTGCAGCCGTAGAAAGGCTTGTTAGTATTGTTTGGTTTCTCACATGCATTGCAATTGAGAGTTTCAGTTGGATTCACAATTTGTTTCAAGACGTGTTGATGGCTGAAGTGTTGTTTACCCTCATTTGTACCCCCGTTCAGTCTTCCCATTGTGTTTTATTTTTTCCTTTGTAATTTTGTTGTGCAATATACTCCTGGAGAGTTAAGTAGCTGCATATTTATAGATATTTCAATTAAACTATATGATACAATAACTTTGCGACGTTGTTTCGTTTGGACGACTTTAGCTTCGATGCATATTTCCTTTTTCTTTTACTAACTAATAAGTCTTCTCCGACATTACGTACTAAAATGGGGCCGAACATCTTTGTGTTTTGACTTTGACTAAAATGGCGGCGAGCATCTTTGTATAATCGTATTCACAAGTTAACATGGCCACATTGTCTCCTTCGACCACTTTGCATTCATGTTTTTTCCCTTTATTAATAGCAACAATTTGGCCAGTTGCTATTCAAAAGTATATCTGTAAGCATATTGACTTACTTGGCGCTCTTATCGAATGGCTACTATAAAATAATGGCGGGCATGTTCCTATAATTTGACAGCGTCTAAATGTTGCTCCTTTTTTAGGTTTTGGGTTTGAGCCCTACAAATAGAATCACCTTTAATGTTTGAGAATATTTTTCCCCAAACATGAGATTTTCCAATGTGAATCCGAATTTAATCGTGTGGGCGATTGGATTATATATATATATATATATATATATAGGTGGTTGTCTCTGTGATTAAACTGTAAAATTAGATCCACCAAATTCGGCAAATTGATAACTTTGGGAAGTCAACTGTATTGAGGTTCATGGATGTTACGGTAACAGTCCACTGTTAGACTTTTTGCTCTTTGCAAGTTGGCATTTTCATCATTCATTATCCTAGTGTTGACTAATACTTTTAAATTCATTTTAGTTTGATTATCGTAATGTCTCCCCACACGAAGAGTGTTAGTGAAAAAATTACAAGATAATAAAAATACAAAATTACAATTGAAAATAAATATGAAGAAAATAAATTTTTTCAGGCTGAGGCGCGGATATCTCGCTCTCTTTAAGGAGATTCAAGTCCACTGCAGCAAATGTTTTTATCGGTCCAGCACTAGTCCTCTTGACTTGTTCCCTCCAGGATACAACACCCTTCACAAAGTATAACTCAACAACTCTGGACAAGAGTTGAGTCCAAAGCTCCACAAAAGAACACCTCCCTTCAACTAATAAGAATTCTCTTTTTTGACAAACCTTATGCATTCTATATTTTCTTGTTGTATTGTGTGTCACAAACCAAATGAAGACCACCACTATTTATACTAGTAGAAGTCTTCCTAGCAATGAATAGGAAGATAATGGTGTAGTAAATAGTGAAGATAATGGTCTTAGGAGTTACACAAGTTACAAGAATAATGGAGGAGTAGAGTAAGAAGTAATGGGATAAAAAAGCTAACAGCCACCAACGGCTGAACCTGCTGGTCAACCAATAAATATTCTAATGCAATAATGAATAGAGGGAGTAGTGACTGACTTAGGGGCAAACGATCAATGTTAAAATGTAACATTCTTATAATATTAAAATGCCCCTATACTAACAATCCCCCACTCATATTAATATTAGTTAAGAGAGTCTATCAGCTGAAGGAAGACTACTATGCATAATGAAGGTGTGTTATGCATTAAATCTCCACTTAGTAAAACAGTAACTTTTACTCCAGAGTCGTAGTGGTCTCAGACTTGAACTATGACTGCTTAAGGGAAATAAAATATCACTGCTCACACATAATAATCAAGGTGTTGACATGAACTTTAAAGCCAGCACGTTATGGCCATGTGCTATCCCAGTTTCATGAGTGCTTTTGAGAATAAGCCAAACTCTCATAGGAAGCGACCTATTTCCACACATCACATAGGTGAAATCTGTCGAGAGTGCTCCTGTAAACTTAACACTCCACCCATATGGGCTACAGATATTCATTAAGAGTTTTATCAACTCAACCTTCACAAACTACAGGAAACAATGCACTCACATCATAGGGAGGGAAAGAAAAGATAGTGCATTTTTCACAACAAGTCATCATATGATTAGTTTTCCCTTTGAACCTGGTTATAGGATTTCTAGTCCCCAGGTTGGGTTTCCTCATATATGACTCAAGGATTTGTAGGCTTCAATCCCATCCCCTTCTATGTACTCTAGACCTTTTCTCTTGTTAAGGCCTTAGTAAGAGGATCTGCAAGATTATCACAAGATTTGACATAATCAACATTAATGGTACCATTTGTCAAATATGATCTTACATTACTGTGTTTCCTCCTTATAGATCTGGATTTACCGTTGTAATAACGGTTTTGAACTCTACCAATCGCAGCAATGCTATCACAATGAATTAAAATAGGAGGAATTGTTTTTCAAAATAAGGTATTTGAAATAATAAATCTCTTAACCAATCCGCTTCCTCACTAGCTGAAGCTAAAGCAATTAGTTCAGTCTCTATGGTAGAGTTAGCAATTATAGTTTGCTTGTTTGATCTCCAACAAACAGCACCACCACCTAAAGTAAAGACATAACCAGTGGTAGAACAAGAATCACCTGATAAAGTGTTCCAATCTGCATCACAAAAGCCTTCAAGTACAACAGGATATTTTTTATAGAACAAACCACAATTTTTCGTTCCAATTAAATATCTCATAACTCTGGTTATAGCATGCAAATGTTCATTACTTGGCTTGCTTGTAAACGTGCCAAATATTCCTACTGCATATGCAATATCAGGCCTAGTACAATCAGTCACATACCTCAAACTTCCGATTATGCTAGCATATTCCTTTTGATTTATTACATCATTTTCACTTTCAACAGGAAATAAGTGAACACTTGAATCAAAAGGAGTAGCAACATGCTTGCAATCAAGAAAGTTATATTTTTTCAAAATTTTCTCAACATAATGTGACTGGTCAAGGAAAATTCCATCACATGTTCTTGTTATTTTTATTCCAAGAATAAAATTTGCCTCACCAAGATCTTTCATATCAAAATGGCTTCTAAGAATATTCTTAGCTTCATCAATAACATTCATGTTAGAGCCAAAGATCAACAAATCATCAACATATAG